TTTGTTTGTTTGTTTGTTTGTTTGTTGGTTGGTTTGTTTGTTTGTTTGTTTGTTTGTTTGTTTGTTTGTTTGTTTGTTTGTTTGTTTGTTTGTTTGTTTGTTTGTTTGTTTGTTTGTTTGTGTTTGTGTGTTTGTTTGTTTGTTTGTGTGTGTTTGTGTTTGTTTGTTTGTTTGTTTGTTTGTTGGTTGGTTTGTTTGTTTGTTTGTTTGTTTGTTTGTTTGTTTGTTTGTTTGTTTGTTTGTTTGTTTGTTTGTTTGTTTGTTTGTTTGTTTGTTTGTGTTTGTGTGTTTGTTTGTTTGTTTGTTTGTTTGTGTGTTTGTTTGTTTTTGTTTGTTTTTGTTTGTTTGTTTGTTTGTTTGTTTGTTTGTTTGTTTGTTTGTTTGTTTGTTTGTTTGTTTGTTTGTTTGTTTGTTTGTTTGTTTGTTTGTTTGTTTGTTTGTTTGTTTGTTTGTTTGTTTGTTTGCTTGTTTGTTTGTTTGTTTGTTTGTTTGTTTGTTTGTTTGTTTGTTTGTTTGTTTGTTTGTTTGTTTGTTTGTTTGTTTGTTTGTTTGTTTGTTTGTGTGTGTGTGTGTTTGTTGTTGTTGTTGTTTGTTTGTTTGTTTGTTGGTTGGTTTGTTGGTTTGTTGGTTTGTTGGTTTGTTGGTTTGTTGGTTTGTTGGTTTGTTGGTTTGTTGGTTGGTTTGTTTGTTGGTTTGTTTGTTTCTTTGTTTGTTTGTTTGTTTGTTTGTGGTTGTTGTTGGTGTAATTGGTGTAGTGTAGTGTAGTGTAGTGTAGTGTAGTGTAGTGTAATGTAGTGTAGTGTAGTGTAGTGTAGTGTAATTAGATATAATTCGTTGTAGTGTAGGGTAATTAGTGTAGTGTACTGTAGCGTAGTACATTTGTATTTGTAGTGGTAGCAGTAGTGTAGTGTAATGTAGTGGTAGTTGTAGCTGTTGCAGTTGTAATTGTCTGTCTGTCTATCTATCTATCCATCCATCTATCTATCTATCTGTTTGTCTGCCTGTCTGTTTGTCTACCTGCAAGCTTGAAAACGCAGCAATTCTGCGAGACTTCCTCAATTTTTGAACTTGACAACGTCAAAAACGAGACAATTCTGCGAGACTTCCTCAATTTTCGAAGTTGACATCGTCAAAAACGAAACTATTCTGCGAGGCTTCCTTCACAAATGGAAAGTAGAGTGCAGAGCTGACAACCTCGTACCAATGCGATTTGCATTTTTTCCACTCCATCCGTCTAAAGTGCTGCGCCTGCCATGAAAAATTGATGCCAGATCATACGAAGTGCTGCACCTGTCACGCAAAATCATCTCTTGCACTGCGCCTGCCACGCGAAATGCATCTTGCCAGATCCTCTGCATATGTCCGACGCCTGCCATCATTTTTGGAAATGCTACAAAGCCCTCACACTTTGCTCACTTTTGACACAAGGTGCGCAATCCCTTGCACCTGCCACGCGAAACGACATCTGAACGTCCAAAAAGTGGTCCGAGCATGTGGTGCTTTCAACATTTTGACTTCGAAATGTGCTTCGCGCCACAACGGCGTACACTTGTTCGACATCTCAACTTCCAAAAGTGGTCCTAGCATGGTGTGCTTTGTACATTTTGACTTGGAAATGTGCTTCGCGCCACAACGGCGTGCACTTTTTCATCATCTCAACTTCTAAAAGTGCTCCGAAGCTGAAGCTGAAGTGCTTTGTACATTTTGACTTCGAAATGTGCTTCGCGCCACAACGGCGTGCACTTTTTCGACATCTCAACTTCAAAAACTGCTGCGAACCTGGTGTGTTTTGTACATTTTGACTTAGAAATGTGCTTCGCGCCACAACGGCGTGCAAGTGTTCATCTCTCATCTGGCCAGCTGGCTCCGCAGCCGCCGCTTTAGCGAGCCTACTTTCGACCCTCCGGAGCCACAAATCATTGGAAAAACACAGTGTTTCGCGACTTTCCTACCTTTTCGCGCACCTGGATCTTCTTTCTTTCTTCTGAGACTTTCTCTTTTTTGATCTTCTTTCTTCTTCTCTTCTCTTCTCTGACTCTTCCCATCTCTGCTTTTCATCTGTCCATATTGTCGGAAGTTTGACTTCTAAACTTCCTTCGATTATCTCTTTCCTTGCTCGTTTCATCAGGTTCGACTGGGCCCGTGGCAAGTCCAACAAATCGGGAAAAGTCTCTGGGGTGAGTGTGCACAAATCTCCTTCGTCGTCCACCTAGGCTGAAGAAAAGTGGCTTGCAAAATCCATTTCGCTTGTGGAGCGCTCACCTAGGGCCTCACTTACCTTCCCTCAAACCTCATCCCTTGCTACGCTCTGCCTGACTACCCCTGCAAGGGCCGGGCATACTTCAGGAAGCCCTTGCTGGGTGCATCAGCGTCGACTTCGGGACCTCGCAATTCCACTATGCCCGGATCATCTGGGCGGACAAGGACAATCAAATTTCTGACACATTGAAAGCCTATCCGGAACACTGATCAGAGCAGCGCTTCCGAACGACAGGTCACCAGGACTTCCGATACAAAAAGCCTGAGGAAAACTTGAGGGGCCAGCGGCAGGCAGCAATCACCTCAACGACGGCGTCGAAGCTTGGCCTCAGTGTCACTTCCCTGCAATTCCGCCACAAGATTCGTTTAATTTCGTTGATGTTTGTTTGAGTAGTTCAAAATTCGCAAGTTCCACAAAAGGCCTAGGGGGCCCAGCTCTTTTGGAAGGGGCCGACGGAAGATCTCTCCATCGTCGCATTGGAATTTCACAATCATCTGTCATGCATGATCACATAGGCACACTTTGTCATACTGACTGTGACACCCTCTAATCCGCCCCTCACATACAAGGCGTATTCCGCAATGAGCTTTGAAAATTCTTTAAAACGGGCCAGCACGTCCATCGCCATGTTTCAGCAGAAAAAGCAGAAGCACTCCTTGCAGAAAGTGACACTGAACGAAAGGAGTCGTCATGATCTTTCACTGAAAGGATATTGATATAGTACCGAATTGCGAGAACAGTGTACGAACAACGCACGGTATCACCTAAAAAGCAGATCCTTTTGGAGCAAGGCATATTACTGCAATACTATATCGACACGGCCAAGTGCCGGAAGCCAAGGTTCTTTTCGTCAAGCTGGACGACTGAAGATGCAAAATCACGATACACTTTCAGGACAACGCCTAATTGAGCCAAACACAGGAGCATTTAATTTATCTTGCACATGGTACCACCCATTTCCAAAGTCCGCGGATCAATGGTGCAGAGGAAACATATCTAGACGCCCCTGCGTGGCAAGCTGAGTCCGTTTGATATGCCACGGCGTGGGGAAGAGACCAAAGCAGTGACTAGCTAGAAACAAGAATGAAAGGCAGGCTGGCGGATGGGTCTGAAGCGTTTCATGCCGGCAAACTTCTCATGCGAGAGCATTTAGTTGATGATTTACAGTAACGGATCACAATAACCTTTAAATTGGCAATGACTTTTGAAGAGTGACATGTAGTGTGTGTGTGTGCATGTGTGAGGTGCGTATACGTTTTCACTCTCCTACATATCATAATATAAAAACAAAGGGAGAAAAAATGATCAGAACCTTTTTTTTGTACAACCAGCAAAGTGTCAGTCATGGGGCACAGAACTCGCCGGCAATATCTGAGGCAGCTGTGATACAACAAGCTCGCCCTAGACCTCCTCAAAGGCGTTCAACATCTCAACACAGGCATATGTCAAGCAAAGCAGAGCAATGCTGATATGATCGAGGTCATCCGCTTCTACCTCTACAACGGTGCCATGTTGGGAATCATGATTCCCTAGTGGAGGAGCTGACAGCTTGCACCTTCAACAGTGCCACATTGTCACGTTGGCACCGCTGGGGGCCCAGGATCTGCTACAACCTGCCTGACATGCAACGCGCCTTTTTTTTATACCCCGCAATGCTGAAGCTGTCTGGGCCATCATGACCTTAGTAACCCCCGAAAAGCTCGTACTGACTTCATTGACATAGTTGACCATGGTTGACCATAGTTGCATTCTACATGCATGCTAAAGGCATTGTGACCGTTCTTTCCGCTCCCACGAGAGATACTGACTCAAACCCTTGAGCTCCCCAAGGATTATTTTCAGCAAATCACTCAACTTCCAGTTGCGATTGTTCTCCAATAGGCCTTCGCTTTGGGAGAATTGAGTTGAAAGACCTTACTGACCTTACAATACTTTTTTTGGCGCCGCAGAACCATGTTAACACCCAGCTTTCAGCCGGATAGTCTCGACTCTGGGCAGGCACTTAGCATGGTTCCAGACTCGAAACACACCCCTCGGGGACCTAGCTAGCTGTATGCCATTGGCAGCAAGAGCAGCAACTTGACCAAAGCCGAGTGCAGAACATACCGAGTTTCGGCATCATGGTCTTGCTGCCAACAAAAGAGGTCTATCAGTGAGTCCATCATCTACAAATCGGCAGTAGGCCGAAAGTTCAAAATGTTGGCGATCCTAACAGCATTGGTGCAAAGGCCAAAACTAGCCAGAAAAAACGCCCTAGATGAGCACAGTCCATCTGGGTGTCCATACTGGACAGCTGTGATAAGAATTATCCTCTTTTTCAAACAAGTATCTGGATGTAGTTGGGATAAACCGCCCCCACAGAACAAGCAACCAACAGTGGCTTCAAACTCTGCTTAGATAGCTGTCTCCCCGAACCACGTATTAAAACCAGCGTTTCTCAACCACGAATTGCCAAACGTCTAACCACAAAATCCACCTTTACCTTTCAGAAAAATACCCACGAAAGCATTGCATCTTCCTCGTGGCTGTGTTTCTTTTAATGTATGTCATTTAAATGTATTTTATTCTATATATGCACAATGGGGAGAGAGAGATAGAGAGAGAGAGAGAGATAGGTGGATAGACAGATGGATGGATGGATGGATGGATAGATAGGATAAGATCAGATTCGATTTATAGATAGACAGATAACAGATAGATAGATGAAGCCTTGGAGACCCGCAGCATTCCCCTATAAAGGCCCCTAGACTTAGAGAGCCGCAACCTTCCCAACTATAGCTCTCTGTTTGGGAAGGTTGCAGCTCTCATAGGGGAAGGTTGCGGCTCCTTACAGGGCTCCGTATAGAGAAGGTCGAATCCCTATAGGGAGGTTGCGTCTCTGTATAGGGGAAGGTAAGGGGGACAGGGGAACCCTGCCTCTTAGGGCAAGGTTGCGGCTCTCAATGCAGAGCCGCTTTTTGGAGGCAAAAAAAATGCATTCAAGTGTCTGTTCGCACTAGCTACTTTCTTGCGTGGTAGAAACGCTGTTTTTGGTTTAAAAATCATCTGGTCAAGCAAGTTCAAGGTTTGAAAAATATTGCTTTATCCGTGGTTTAAAAACAGGTTCCCCTGCTTGGATGGGCAAAAGGATATCGTGACTGCCCTTTAGCACAGTCAGCGATCAGTTCAGTGCCCTCCATGGGTGTCGCCATGAGTATCGCCATGGGTATCGCCATGTCCCCCACCAGCAGTGCAGTGCTCATGGTCAAGAAGGATCAATCCAATGCAAGCTGCCCCCTCCCACTATGAAGACGAAAACAGTGGCAACCCCCATAACCAAAGGCGATGAAAACCGTTTGCTGCTACTAACGGAAGGTGCCAGCTCAGTCAGCGATACATAGAGAAACACCCCACCAGCCAGAGCCAAAACCGTACCCTCAGCTTCATAGGGAATGTTCGAGTAGTATGCAATGATCGCACTTAACACCGCTGCTCAGCCACAAATGAAGTTGAGAAGTGTTGCCTGCCACCACTTCATGCCAGCTTTGAAGACTAGGGTGTAGGTGCCAGCAACTTCTTGTGGCAGCTCATGAGCAATGATAATGCCCACCAACTTCCATGCAAAGCCGGTGCTGCAGGGACGAAATGCTGTCCCAAGGACGAAGCCATCTGCGATGTTGCAGCAAAAGTCTCCGCAAGAAATGGGAATCCCAAGAACCCACATCATGTTTTTGGCTGGGGGCTTCTCATCGATAGCTTCAACTGCTTCCGTCACAGCAACATTTTATTTTTGTTCTCCACGGTCATCTGCGCCGCACTTTTTCTTCACCACATCTCCAGCAAGGTGAGAAATAGCTCCCAGCAGCCAGCCAGCAACGATGGTGCTGCCCCAGGCTGCTGCAGCTTCAGGCTCAATCTTGCCAACTGCCAGCATGTGTTGGGCCTCTGGCAAGAAGAGGAACACTGCAGCTGCAAGGAGGATACCAGCCGCCAGGGAGTTGGAAAAGTGAAGAGCAGTCTTGAAAAAGGTGCCCGTGGGGTTACAAACAACGACCAACAGGACAATTCCAACAAGAGTTGGAAGCGCTGTCATCAGCGATGCTCCAATCACCTCTCCAATCCTGTCTGTGGAGGTCTCTGCATGGTCATCGTGATCATCGTGGTCATGGTCGTCAGAGTCGCATGCAGCCGTGTGGCTTGCAGACGCGCTTATTCCGTGGTTGTTGCGCATGACGCTAGGCATTAGGTTTTTGAACTCTGAAGGGTAGTGCTCTGCAGAGACTGCGAAATTGCTTTCGGCTGCCACTGGGATCTTAAAGATGCTGATCCAAGAATCTGAATCAAACTGGAGTTGGTAGGCTGCGTTCAAGCTCAAAACTGCTCCACTCTGCACAGTCGTCAGAGTGGCGTTGAGGTCAGTCTCGGCTGAGCTTTGCACAGCTGTGAGCCCCGCCTCAGTGGCAGCACTAGCACTACGCAGGGCCACCGCCATTCCAGGATCGGCATAAGTAGTTCCCGTCTTTTCGAAGGTCCAGGTCAGGATTCCTGCCTCATGTGCATGGTATACTCCTGCCCACTCCCACGAGCAGGAAGCATTTCCACCCAGGAGCAAGGACAAGAAGATGCATGCGCGAAGCATCTTCTCAAATTCTTCGGCGTGTCAACAGTTGGCGTCCACCCAAGTGTCAGGGCACTAAGGCTTGGCCTGGACTCTGACTGATGGTGACTGAAAGATACTGAAAGTATGTGGACATATGTGGACTGCCCAAATTTTCCACTTCAACAGGTTCAACACTTGAATCACTTCAGAATCTTGAGATCCTGGCTCTTCTTGAAGCATCAGTCTGTAAATCTCTCCATCATCACATTGCACTTTCACAACCATCTGGCGCGCTCAGAGACTTCAACAACTGCATGAGCATTCTCAAACTAAAACCTAAACTCATCGCTTAAACTTCATCCACAGACTTTTCCTCAAAAGTGGGCATCCCAAAACCAGCCGCTGCTTCCAGCAACAGCCAATGATGGAGGATTTGGGGTGCCCAACTCAGAAACCCTTGCGCAATTGAGGAACATCGGACAGGAAAAGTTCTGGGCTACCAGGGCCACTGGGGCACGGGTCGAGTAAGTAACAAACAGACTGCAAGGTCACTGCGAGTTGAATACAAACCTTCAGCAAAAGGAACAGTAAATCTCTGCCGAGACATGCCAGTCAATCCGCCATCTTTCAGAAGAAGCACCAAGGCGCTCCTTGGTGTATATCAACGTGATTCGGATACAGGGTCCTCCAGTTGCCTTTGTCCGTGACACGAAAATCACGTGAAATCAACACATTCACGTGTGTAGCGCGCATGCTTCGGAGTTCTGCTTGGCTTACAACGCTCAATCCAGGACAAAAAAGGAGAGACTGTCACCGCTCTTCAGCTGATAAACCATCTCATGATATATGACAAAGCTAAGCAGCTAAGTAAAGGCACTATGAGTTTGTTCAAGTAATGCACCTTCAAAAATCGCCAAACATCCCTCATATCCAAGGGATTCCAGGGGTCACTCTGTCAAGGGCAACGTCGGCAACGCAAGATGCAAAAAGCTCCACAGCTCACAGGGCAACGCCTTGAGCCAAGCAAACCATCAGCTATGCTGCTATCAGCTGTCGCATCACTGAGCGCAAAATCCCGGGGCTTGAGCCGCGCATCACTTACCTCCATTGAAAAGCTACTAACTAGATCTAGTTAGTTGTCTATAGAGTCTACAGTGTCTAATGCTTTTCACATGATAGATGAAGAAATGAAAGCACTCAGCCGACTTTGTCAGGAACTGCAAGCGGCTCCTGTGCAGCACTGTCACTGCTGCCTGTCTGGAGGCTTCGTCTCTGCACAATTTCCAATGTTTTTATCTAAATATTTGCAACACGTGCCGTGCTGAAAGCTGCCATTGCTTTCGCAGATTCATGAGAAAATAAAAATGATACTCTTAGGTGAACTGTCATCTCTCTTTGGCAGCTCTGCAGCATAATCCAGACAAGCAGGCTCCAAGATGACAAAAGCATACAACAGCTGTAGACAATCAACTTGGTAAAAGACACTGAAAGAGGTATTGGGTGCATAGAGAATCTGAAGAAATCTGAAGAATATGAATTGTCACCTTTGAGCCCCTCTCGCCTGACGAGAACAAACCACTTTGTGGCAAATTTGGTGAAACGCTACGCAGGATCGTCTACCTTGTGCAGATTCAATAAGAAAATTAAAGGAAACTGTCAGACTGCATGAGATCCAAGAGATAAAAGTCTGCACTTGTCTTGTTGACACCCACAACTGAGTACGATGCAAAGGGTCTCATTGGCACTTCTGGGAATGGCCTTGGAAGGTCATGGAAGTACAGTTGACGTCGATATGTCAGAAAGATGGATTTGCGACTGCAAAAGTGATGCAGTACTCCAAGGATTGTCTGAGCAGACTACAAGACAACCTTCGAGCTTGCAGCCATGGTGCCGGAAGCCTTGAATCGGATTCGAGAGACAAAACTGACAAAATGCTCAAGGCCTTGACAAAGTGCAGGGCACTGCAGGGGCTTGGCCTTGGGATGTTCTTCGATGCCAGGAATCCAAGGCGACACCGGTGCCTGTCGCACTGGATCCAGGCGGTGAAACAACGGCGTGCATTTGACCACAAAGAAATGAACAAAACTTACGCAACACGAGTTGAAAAATAGGTTGAGGTAAGTCAGGTAAGTTGAGGATAGTTTTTTTACAACGCAAGCGCTGACTGCAAATATGGGAAATATACCGCTTCTTGGTGCGATTTGTGCTCTGAGCATGCAGCTGGTGGAGGCGATGGACACTCCTCAACTTTGAGTCGGAAAGATTGGCGGATTTGACGGACTCATATCTGCAACTTTCTGTCTCACCATCAAGTCATAGAGAAACAATGATGTCATGTCATGTCATTTCATGTCATTTCATGTCATTTCATGTCATGTCATCTACGAGTCTACTGTTTTTAGCATCTACTTAATCTACCTCTATCAACGTCTAACATGAACGGAACTGGTGATACTCGACGCCTCCTCAGACTCAGGTGGAGCCTCAGGGCAGTCCGACTCCTCAGGGCATGGAAGGCATGGCAAGGCCATCGCATCTCTGCCACGAAACACTCGCCTCGGACATCTCAGCACCTGTCGATTCACAGCCAGCTGCGATCAGTATCCAATTCTTGAGATTCTTTGGACGATATGACCATTGCTACCTGTTTCATCCTGTTTCAGGGAGCTTTGTGAATCCACATGAGACATGTTCGAGACTCCGAGCCTTGAGGGTGGTTCAATGTGCTTAGAGGCAATGGAAGCAAAGCTGGCCTGAGCATCGATGACCATATCATCCCGGCCACAGAAATGGACTGTCTCTCTGTCTCTTAGCGCCTCAAAGATGATGAGGAAAGATTTTGTTCCTGAGCAGATCTGAGCAGGTGATTTAATGATTGTAACGCTCTCTCACGTGAGCGGCAAACGAAGCCTCAGCGCGTCGGCCCAAGAAGTTTGGTTGGCGATCCTTGTCTTGCATCATCCTGTCAGTCGAAAAAGGCATAAAAAGGCTCTGTTTTGCAAATGAGTTTACTGCTCGGTTGTCGATATTTTAGGGCATGAATCTGAGCGGTACACAGTGACTTTAGAATCTTTAGAAAGCACCTTCCTGAACATTGGTGTTTATCCCAATATTATTTTTTGGGGGATGGACAGATTGCTTCGAGGTGAGAGGGCGACAGAGTTCTTTGCTTCGTCAAATGCTCAAGCGAATGTCACAGTCTTCAAAATGGCAAGGACGCCAAATTCACCCACCAATTTGTTCTTCAGAATTGGTCAATTCCATGCTTTGTTCCTTTTACAATGCATCCAGTCTGGAGGGAATCTTGTGACAATTGGACATTTAAAGACCGTCTCTTTCACCTCATCAAGGGTCAACTTTGACCTCTCAACCTGTCCTCTCCAACGCCTTCCTCATCTACAGAACGATACTTTGTGCATTGTACCGAAACTACCAGCACTTGCTTCAATCCGCGAGCTCAAACATGTTCAAGCCTCCAGCTCAAACGAGAACAACAAAAACCTGGTGTTCGCTCCTCCAGCAGGGATTGGCTTGCCTTCCCCAGCTATCAGGCATTGGAGCTGTCCTTGCGCACCAGTCATGAAACGCCCTGTGCATCAAAGCAACAAGTTGAGAATGAATTCTTTAAAAAAATGAAATGCGAGGAAGTCAGTTTGAATTAAATAGAACTCCTTTTTCTGGATTGACTGTTGGCACATCCTTCTGACCGACGTTTGACTTTGAGGCTTCAGCAGCGGCTCCCTTGAAGAGTCCATTGGAGGCTCTCTGGGAGGAGGAAGTCTGCCAAGTCTTGAAAGATAGAAACAACTTGAAAATGGTGCAAATATACATATATCTATCTATCATATTGTATTGTATTATATATGTATATATTGTATGTATATATATATATATATATATTTATACATTATATTAAAATATATTGTATATTTGAAATATATTGTATATATAAAATATTGTTATAATTATGAGTTTATACATATTATATATATATATATGGTCACCCCCCCAGAAGCCCCCTAAGCATATATTCCCTTGAAATTTGCACTATAAAATGCTTCAAAAATGTGTCTGATTCTTGGGTCTTCTTCAACGCAAAACATCTGCTAATGCAATATTTGATTTTAACAATGTGTTTGCTTGTTACTTAATCTTCAACGCACAACATCTGCCAATGCAATGTTTTGGAACTCTTTGGGGAGGGCCCCATGGAGAAAACAAAAAAAAAAACATCAGGAAAAAAAACTAAAAAAACTAAAAAAAGCTATTTTCTTGGAACTCTTTGGGGAGGGCTCGATGGAGAAAACCTGAAAAAAACAAAAAAAGGAAAAAACATAAAAACATATAAAAACCCTAAAAAACATATTTTTTGAGACTCTTGACTAGACCACCCCCATCCCCAAGACCTCTGGATTTTTTTTTGGTTTTTGATGTTTTTTTCGATGTTTGTGTTTTTTTAGGTGTTCCCAAGACTTCTGGAAAATATGTTTTTGTTTGCTTTGTTCGATTTGTTTTTATGTATTTTGCCTTTTTTCATTTGCTTCAAACTGATCAATCTGTAAGACATGCTTCATCATTTCACTTTGTAGGATGCTGTCTTCTTGCTTACACATTTCTTTGCAATGATTGGAAACCATATTTCAACATGTCTACGAGTATCTTGTTTTTTGCTGTTCTACTTCTGTGTGGCTTCCTGGATCACATTCCTTGCATAAAGTGGCATCATTTTTTACAGTCCCCTTATGTAAAGGAGTTGCAGCACTTCTTTGAAAGAAATATAAGGTTATTTTTTTAAGGCTCTAAAGAGGTAAAGAAATCTATGAAAGGAGGACAGCATGATTTGAGAATGGAATCCTTTGAGTATCTATTTTAAATCATTATGGTATTCAAAAAAGACAGTGTTGGTGCAAGTCTGGGCAAAGCTTCCTTCACGAGGGGGGTGAACCATTTAATTAAAAAACATGCAATAATACACAGAAGCATTACTATGAAGAAGAGCCCCTGGGTGTATGTAGTACTTTTTGAAAGAAACAGGTCATGGTTGTATGTATGCAATATGCTAAAGGTATATTACAAGTATTTTAAAGTATTAACAAAGGTATATTCGGGGTATACCCATATTATATGAAACGGTATATCAAAGGTATATTAAATGGTATTGTCAAGGTGTATTAGATGGCTTTTCAAAGGTATATTGAAGGTATATTAACAATACAAATGTTTTCATGGTCAATAAAATGGTATATTGAAGGTATCTTGAGAAAACAAAGGTATATTCATGGTATATTAAATGATAGACTGAAGGTATGTGATATGGTGTATCAAAAGTATTTCAAAAGGAATATCAAACGAGATTAAAGATGTATTAAAGGTGTGTCAAAGGTATGTTAAAGGTATATTAAAAGTATATTCAAGGTATTCTCATGTTTTGTTAAATGGTACACTAAATGTATATTAACTGGTATAGTAACTGGTAGATTAAAGGTATATGTATATATTGAAGGTATCGTCAAGGCATACTAAAGCAATTTTCAAGGTCAAGTAAGCGGTATATCAAAGGTAGATTCTAGGTATCTCAAAAGATATGCTAAAGGTGTATTAAAATGTATATTAAAGGTATAGTATAGGTGTAGTAGATGGTATTTAAAAGTTATATGAAAGGTATATTAAAAGGTATCCTAAAAGTATATTGGAGGTAAGAACATGGCCAATAAAATTGTATTCTATACAGGTATGCTAAAGGTATATTAGATGGCATATAAAAGGTATGTTGAAGGTGTATTACATCGTATTTGCAAAAGAAAAAAACATATTAAAGGTATCTTGAAGATATTTTCATGGTCAATAGACTCGTATATTAAAGATATGTTAAGGTTATAGTAAAGGTATAGTCACTGTATTTCAACAATGTTTGATCAAAGCATTATTCTTACTTTGCTACTTCTACTTCATTTCTACTTCATTTTTAGAAAAATGTGCAGACACATCAGTTGTGCTACCCAGAGACCAAGAGCTGGTAAAGAATTGTTTGCTCAGCATGCGGGGGTTCTGGGAGCAGGGGTGAGCATACATATATAATTATATATATATATGCTGCTAATACGTCCAATATCTGCATGGATCGCAGCAATTTTGCCCTAAGATGCACTAAGCATCTTGGTCGCTTGCCTTACCATCTGCGGAGATGCAGCAGTGGATGCAGGTATCGAAGGGGTCGCACTTCCTGTTCAACTGTAGAAGCAACTGACAATCTGGGACACGGCAAACGGTTCTTCGCAGTCAGTCCTGATAAGACAAACTGTGCGATAAGAATTGAAACATCCAAAGACTTTCTGCTGCTTGGTAGGGAATGAGGGAAATGGGGGGAATGACCCATAAGAACTATTTACAATCATCACTTTCCATCATCAATCATCCCATTCCCTACTAAGCACAAGTAAAGTAAGAAGAAGACTAGAAGACCAAAGAAAAAGAAATGCTCCAAGGTCTCGAGCAACGTGCGTTCAGCTCAAGGCTCGAACCAATGGTCGATGCTCCCACTGTTGAGGCCAACGGAGAGGACGCACTGCCAGGACTTGAGGATCATGTTGCATATTCTATCATGTTCTATTAAAGATTCTATTATATATATATATATGTGTTCTCATAAGCTGCAACTTTGCAAAAACCTATGCTGCGCACTTCATTCTTTGCTTTGCAATTGTCTGACCCAAAAATTGAAGCGGAGGGGATAGTCAGTTCCGAAGTAACAAGACTATCAACTGGCGTTTCTTTCAAAACAAACAGGTTTTCCAATCTAAAAGAAACTCCTCTGTTCGAAGTCCCTCACATCCGAGAAAGATGAAGCCTGGCAGGCGGTGGATCCTGCTTTGGTGGCTCCGGGCCTTAAGCCATCACGCAAAAAGCTGGTGCTTTGACAACCAGATTTAGTATGAAAAGGGGAGAATACAGAAGGGAGTATTCGGTATTCAGGATTGAATTCCTCAGGCTGCGGCTCTTAGCATCTTCAAGCGGTGTGTCCGCCTTAACTCACAAACAAGATCAAACAAGCAAAGCAAACAGCTGTCATCAGCTGTCCATGGTTTTCTTTGGTGAAACTCAGGGCCTCCCGGCCTCCCTTTGCTTTTGATACACGCTAAATTGACCCCTGGCTTGCACTGTGTCGCGCACGGAATCCCAGCAGTCTTCAAAAAGAGGCTGCCAACAACTTCCTGCCATTGAACAAATGAAACACAACCCAGACTTTCAAATCTGATGTCTATGGGCTAGGCTGGGGTGCGGATACATCTGTACCAATCTTTCCTTGGTTTGCTTTTCGCTTGCTTTGTGAAGAGCGAGAAGATCTAGCCTTTCACAAGCTGTCAGTCGTGTCACAGTGTCTTCTCTCTCTCTCTCTCTCTCGCTCCCCCTCTCTGTAGTCTTAATGTGTCTGGTGGCAGCTCCACACCTCTGGCAAAGCCGCAGCCTGTTTCCGCTCATCCTCCTCAACCTCACAAATCTATGCAACTCTGTGTTGATGCTCTTTTTCTGCTCGTGTGGTTCTATGTCTTCAGCTCCCATCATCAGTTTCATGTGAGCCATCTCTACTGTTGATCTCTGAGTTCAAGGCCTTGGACTTTGACATTTCTTTCGTGAGCAAATTCGCCACACTTGGAGTCGGAGATACCGCCTGTCACATCAAGACCACGCCAGGGTTCCACGAAACTGCTTGCAGCTGCTTGCAGCTGCTTGCAGCTGCTTGCAGTCTAGAATCTAGAATGATTTCTGGATTTGCAGCAAAGGCTCGATTTCCACGGGGAGCGAACCACCTAAGGCTTCCAAAAAATCACGTTCCGAAAAATTTCCTTGGAGGTCACTCAGTGTCACTCTCCACTGGTCCCGACCTGTTTGCGCACACAAAGCAGATCTCAGTACCCCGTTGTCTCGTCGAAGTAACTGCAATTCACTCTGCAGCCTGGCGAGCAGGCACAGCACCATGACTCAACTGCATTCAACTCTGTGAGTTTCAAACAACTAAGACTAAGACCCAAAACATAAAGCACGTCATGTTGTGCACTTCGACACGTTTGACAGGGCACGCCCTCCTAACCGCGAATTGTTTACACAGTTTATTAACCCCGAATTTCACGTTCACTAACTACGAAATGCGAACAAACCACAAAATCGAGAAAACCGCGCACAAGAAATCAAAAATAGATAAACATAATATATGCTGGTTATATGTTTCTCTATTTTCAGCTTTTAGTAACAATGTTCATTTCAAAACCTCATCAATTCCGTCCAGAAGCTCCCCCTTTTGTGATTCATTAACGGCGCGTTTTTGCGCGACAGCAATACAAGGGATCATGACAATGGATCACCCAGTGACTTAGTGCCTACTACAAGGACAAGCTACTCCGGTCACCTCGTACTGCAAGGAAAATGTGCCGGCATCACCTACTACTACACGGAAAAAATCACACTTTGTGGTTAAAAATGTGTCCCCATTTGATAATGTAAGAACAACATAGAACAACTACCATCCCTGCAGTATTCCAAAAGCAATTTCAGCCCTGTACTGTGCCAGTTGGACAAAAGATTAAAGAATTTAAAAGAGCTGAACATACGCCAGAGTGACCCAAAGATTGCTTCCTTCAGACCATCAAGCTCTTCAAGCCTCCACTTGGTCTCGAGCTAAATAGCCAGTGGTCTTCGAAGTTGTCCGATGGGTTTGTCTTACAGAAATGCAAAAAATATGCTAAGATCAAGACGTCTTTGACCTCACTTTCTCAACCTTCGTGAAAGGCGGGTAGATGAATCCACTCATGAGCACACAGCATGTTACACTTGCCAAACAACGCCCACAAACAGTTCACAGAAATCCGCCCGCACCGAAGGTGCTGGGGCGTGATCGTCCGGATGGCACTCGTAAAAGGTTACAGGTTTACCTGGGGGGGGGGCATTTTTCGGCCAAAACCTCCTGTTTTTGATAGGTCGTGACGCTCGCCTTCAAAAAACACTGTAAAAAAACAGTACGGAAGACACCTGTTCGTGAACGCGCCCGTCCAAAATCGGCAAGCGAAAAGTGAAAAAAACCCGTGTTTTTCAACTTTTTGACCTCAATTTTTTGGTTTGCAACATCTTTTTTTGCGGTTCCGCAGGTGGCCTGGCCCGGAGGCGGATTTTTGAGTTTTTGGACCCGTTTTCGGACTGATTTTCGTCGTTTTGTGATAGCAGAAACACTGGTTTTTACAATGTTTTTCTGTTTTCTGCATGCTTGACGGCTAGCTTCAAAACTTCCAAAAACCTCGTAAATTACGCTGTTTTATGTTACGGTGTGAATGAAAACATCGTAAATACCAGTGTTTTTTGACGTTGGTTAAAAAAAAACACTGTAAATTACAGTGTTTTTGGCCACCTGACCCTCAAAAACCATGGTATTTGCAGTGGTTTCTGCTTCTCACCGCGCAAAAACACTGTAAATAACAGCAATTTCGCCGTTTTTTCATGTTTTTCGTTATTTTTGAACTGCGTTGGTCCGCTATACATGGCTATCAAATTCTTCGCGTTTTTTTTTCCGACAATCAGTACTTTCGGATGTTTTTGGTCTCAATGGCCGACATCATTGGCAGTTACGAGCGGTCGCGAAGGTGTGAGAACAACATCGTTCAAACCGTGGCGGCCGCACAGGGGTTCTTGTCGCGGAGCGACGGCAATAGAAGAGAACTCAAGTAGAAGAGCCCAACGATGCGGTGCGGGCGGTTGCCGTCGCGAAGCGACGTGAATAATGTTAGTAAAGCATTTACCAAAGTCCAACAGCAAAATCAGACAAGTTCTTTTCCCGCGCCTCTGACACAGCACTTTCTGGTGCCGCAGTGGCCTCATTGTTGCTCGAATTTTCATCGCTTTGACTGGAAACCTAGACAATCTTAGACAATGGTTCCTCCTACTGTTGCCCACCGTAACATTTCAAAATGACGTGAAACATGACCAAATCTAAAGGATGCAACGAAGTGACCGAAGCGAGCATCATGTCCACTATGATTTTGCAGAAAATGGAATTATGGGATTATGGGCACTTTTCTGGGTTAATTTTTCTTTGCACATTCACTCGGACTATTCTATGAGTCTATGAGTCTATGACATAGAGTCTGCAAGCTCTACTTCCTGTCCCGACAAGTGTTGATTGAAACCATGTGCTGTGAGAAGGAAAAAAAATCATGGGACTGGAGCCAAATGAAGCGTAAGGTGCCCTTCTCAGCATTCAGGTTTCGGCGTGAGGTTCACTGTCGGCAATTGCAGATGCTTCCACAACCTCTTCCAAAATGTTGAGTTTGTGGATTTTGAGAAGATTGGATGTATAATGCAGTCCACTAGTCAGTGATCCACACAACAACTCAAAATTATCGATTTTGATGTTGTTCCCGTATTCAATACGCCATATTCAGGGTTTAAGGTTTTCCTTCACAACCATGGGGGCAAAATATCACAAGATTCGCAAACATGCCATGCAAGATGTCCGCACCTCTGTGTATAGAAGACGTCCTGCACCTTCCTCCAATGGTGCTGATGCCAAACCAGCCTCGACATCAAAGATTTTTATTTATCCTTTTGCAATAAAGTCATTAGATGTCATTAGTTGATATTTTGTGACATGTTCTGGACGGCAACCATCACACCTCAGTTTTTTCGACTTCTGAAGGAGCAGAAGTTTCGCTGGCCTACAGAAAGACATGGTTTATTGAATGGATGATTTACTGCGGTTCCAATTATGAAAGCGAAGAAAAACATTTTACGCTAGTTTGTTCATTCAAGTTTCTACTCCTCTGCCGTAATTCATGAATAACTAACAAACAAGGTGGTCTGAATGCAGTGTCTCTCCCCCAATGCAATCGAAACACAATGAAGCATCAGATCACACAAACATACACAAACAGAAAGATTGTTTTCATTTACAAGATTGGTTGCTCCAGAACGACATTTTGGATCTGCGCATTTTGGGACGCTTGCACCTCCAAATCTTCAACTTTGATGCCCTCAACGGCAATGCATGTTTTATCCAAAATCATCCAAATGTGTTCACTCCACAGCGAGAATCAAATAAAACAGTCCGTTGAACAAAACAGTGGTCAAAAATGCCTCGACGCATTCTTGATACCAATCGGCATTTGTCACACGCCCATCCCACCTGTTGCACTCCCATGGATTGGTGTTTCGCAGAGCCCTGGCTCAATAACTGTAAGTCTTAAGATTGCAACCATTTCACTATGTGGCACAAAATCCAGCAAGCGCCTGACTTGGTTGGTCTGACTTCGCGAAAGGGTTGAAAACTCGTTTTGAACCTCGTGGTGGAAAAAATACAACCACCTCAAATGGTAACAAACAAAATTAATTTGAAAGGGCCTGCGTAAAAGCCACTCCACAATGACTTCGATTTGGGTGGTAAATACCTTGGTTTCAGATGCACAATTTTTGAACACACCACACAACAATTGCATGAATGGATCTTTGCACCGCACGGTTTGGAGACATCGAGGTGGTCTTCATTAATCTCCGAAAAACGCACCATTTGGAGCAAAGATTGACAAAACAATGGATTTGGATTTCATATTTCAAACCCATTGCGATTCGATGATTGGAAGTTGTTTATATTCCTCCGGCGTTGTTTGTTATTTCGGTTGAATTGGGTATGATATGTTTTCTGGCGAAAAATGTTGTGTAACAATGTCAAAATCGTTTATTATAATGTAATTGCCAGAATTATTTTTTTATATGTGTATGCGCGTCAAGCCACATCACTTGATTGTAAAAAAACATGGGCAAGGATAGTATGTTCATGTATGTTCCACATGTTTGTCCATGAAGATGAATGAATCATTTTGTCTTGCAATACCATGTTTCCATGCAACGCAGCCTTCGATCTTGGCACGTTGATTCAGTTTGAACCACAAAAAGCGGACAAACATATTCGATTTTTTGTGGTTTTTGTCACGTTACCCTTTGGTAGTCAAACATGGCAATGGAACACATTTGATCATGGTACCAACCATTCAAGTTCAAAAATTGTTCGTCGTGCAGATGTCAGTACTTATCATGACAACAATTCTGAGACGGTGGAATCAAATCAATTTGGAAATGATGGTGCACACGGTTGTGAATTCGATAGCTTAGTTGCACTGTGTAATTTTGTTCGTTTCTGTTCCCCGATTAGTTTGTTGAAATTTGGTTTCCACAACCTGTCCAGTTTCTCACTGACGTAGTTGCGCCTGGACGCAGAATGAAGAAACCCTGATACCACAAAGAGGGCCGAGACAAAGGGATTGCAGGAAAAATCAGACCAAACGATATGTTTAAAAATTGGCACAGGTATATGTTCTGCCTCTTCGGTCGTAAGTTTTTTCTGTGTGTCCGGATTCCACTTGTATAACTACAGGTCAATATATGCAAATATTGAAGTCTGAACTCAATACAACATTTCCCCATCCTACATCATACCACACACTGAGTAAAAAAAACCTGTTCCAACCCACAAACCCGCATGCACATCAGGCATTCAGAAATTCATCCCTTGTTACCATACCATTGCAGACTGCGGAGTGTGGAATGGGTGGTGAATCGGTAGCGTTTTGTTCTAATTTCATCTCTCAAACTCTGGCTACTGACATGTGTCTCAACGCACTAAATAGGCACCTGTTTTAACTGCCGGAAATGGCAACAAATCTGAAGTTGATCAGGCTGGATCCCGGTGTTTGGACCCACTCCCTTATAGGATGTAGCCTGTAAAATGAATGAAACGTAATAACTCCAGTTGGAAACGCCCAAATCAATAACCCCATGCCACCTTCTGGACGAAGGAGAATTAGAAGGAACCGACGGCTATTGGGCCGAAGATGATGAAGACGGCGCAGAAGGATTCCTGGATGCTTTAAAAGATGTTTTCTGGGTCTAGGATGACGCAGACTACACATGGTATCAGAGAAGGTTCCAAGGAAGAGACCAGACGAGGCAAAGGTAAAGGAAAGAGAAAAGGAAAGGAAAAGGCAGAGGAGGACGAAGGTTCTTCAGATCAAGGAAAGGAAAGGGCCGAGGAAAAGGAAGAAGGAAAGGCCGCTCTCACATGGTGATTGAAGAAGGATATGAAGAGAAATGGAATGAAGGAGATGAGTGGAATGACTCTCATGAAGGCTATTGGGCCGAAGATCAGAACTGGAATGAAGGCTATTTGGCCTTTGAAGATCTGTACTATCTTGATGCTGCAGGTCACCCAGAAGGGGAGAAGAGGTCCACCTACCTATGCCGGTCTGTGGCCTAGGCAGGAGCAGCCCCAGGGGGAGGAAAGAGCGGGGGGGACAGAAGAGGGGGGGCGACCACACAGAACCACCGACCTTGACCGGTCTCTGGGCGGGGTGGTTGTTGTTTCTTTTCGCGTTGCTGCCGCTGCGTCGATCTATGAACCAAAATGATCCAAAGGTTGAAATCAAAACAGCTTTGAACAAGTACACAACCAGTTCTGATTTCAACTCTCGAACTCTGGCTACTGACATGTGTCTCAACGCACTGCAAAGGCACCGGTTTTAACTGCCGGAATTTGCAACAAATCTGAAGCTGAACAGGCTGGATCCCGGTGATTGGACCCAAGTTATTCTGGGACCAGCCGGTGTAATCTTGAACTGGTGAACCCGCTATATTATCCCCAAGTGCTTGAAGCAGTTAAAAACTGGAACCAAAGAAACGAAATAGTCGTAGGGAATATTCGTGGTTTGACATCAAGCTGCCACAAGTCCTGTACGTTGAACCGCGCTCTATTCTTGGCTGCAAATTTCGTTGGAAGGATACCAATTTCAGCCCATCTACTCAACAAATCGGCATCTTGGGTGTGAATGCCCGGAACATGCTGAGCATCCAGAAGGATATTGTGCTTGGCTAAGAGCAAACTATTTTTTCCAAAAAAACATGGGATACTTGATGCTGAACAAGTTACTAAGCCGTGCGTCGGCACCCGTGTTATCTGTGTGCGAAACAAAGGCTAAGTTGAGACGCTGGCTACTGCAAGTTTTCACCAAAATACGCAAGATTCCAACTTGCGCAAAGGCCTCAAGAAAAGCTATGTGTTTTTGCAGGTCAGCGCCTAACTGGATACTTAGGGCAGCAAAATCCGCAGTGTTGAATCTTTCAGAAAACCAAATGGCGGGACCAGCCACACGTGGAGCCTCTGGCACATGCGTCAGCAAATGCAGATCCTAATACTGAGCATCCACTGGCCGGCTTGCAACCATTGCTGAAACAGCTGCAAGACACGCAGTGAATCTAGTGAGAGTTTTCTGTTGTTGGTCCTGGGATCTCTAACTCGCATCCAAATTCTCTTTGATGTAATGGGTACTTGGGCCACATCCTGCAAGGAGCTCACCTGATTGTATCTAACAGGTTCAAGGTGGACATTCATTACATTAAGGTTATATCTCATACAAGTAGATATAACTACTAACAACGCAAAACAAGAAAGCACAAGTAAACAGCCGAATATGTATATATATTTTTTTTGGTTTTTTAATTACTTATATAATCTAGACATATTTAGTACAAAGCATGTCAAGGCCTTTCTTGTTGAATCTCCCTTTCCACTGTAATTCACTCGCGCTTTGAATTTATTCCCTTTTTCATTGCTGGATTGATTATGCTTGTCACCAGTTGTTTCTGGCAGATTTGAATCCATCTGTGTCAATGGATTTTTAACTTTCACCCATCAGATTTTCTGATGAGTTGGATTGGTGATAACCTTGTGTATAGGGCAAGTGAAGCAACAGAATGAAGAACACAACTGGTTGTTGATAACCAATTACAAAAGAAGGGAAACTTCACCAACCTTGGATGAACTCAAACGGAGTTCCGAATGGGGCCCAGCACGCGCGAGCAATGCATTGATTTGGGCATCAAATAGTGAAACCGATCTCTATCGGAATGCAATCCTGTACAATCGGATGAAATGAGACTGTCTGGCTAACGGATGCGATCTGGATTCTAGACCCCGGGCGGGTAGCAAAATCTAATGGAAGATCTGCCGATCCATGGATGTTGTTGATTGCACAGATGGCTGGAATGTTTGGGAGAGATTCCCAATGCAATCTACTGTTGGAAGTACACGCAACACAAGGAGTGAAACGTACGCAATGGATCTAAGCTAGTCAGTGGTGTGGAGGGAGGGAGAAAAAGTTATTAAAAGCAATGCTAACAATTAATGCAATGAATGCCACCTTGAGCCAAAATGTTTACTATTATGAAGTACCCCACTAAGCATTACTGAAAAAGTACAGTTAACGTTCAAGGTGGACATTCATTACGTTAAGGTTATATCTTGCTATACCCCTTTAATGCTTATAACTAAACTTTAAAGCGTGGCAAACCTGCAGCCCAAAGGGGGCGGCAACGCCGGCGGCAGAAATTTAGAAATTGAGGGTCAAAATAGCGGGCCACCCTCCAGCCACTTTTCCCCGAACTAACTTTTGCAGCTCTCACAGGTCCGCCTGAGAAAACCCCAATCCCAACTGTTTCCACCCAGGTTCTCCCATGTTCTCCCAGGAAATTGATGATTTTATGAGAACCTGGGTGTTATTTTTTGCGTTTTTGTGGGGTTTCCGGGATTCCTGGGTGGAAACGGTTGGGGATTTCCTGGGCGGGCTTGGGGAAACCTGGGCGGACTTAGGCGGACCTGGGCCGACCTGGACGGGGTTAGCTTGAATATACCACGCAT